CTCCTAAGTTGTAGTAAATCGGGGCTATATAGGGCTTATGTATGGTTAACAGAAGCACCCAATCGAAAAATTATATGGAAATATGAAGGTAAAGAAGGGCAAGGAAAATATTCAATTCTATTACAAAGTAAATAAATTTTCTATACACTAGGAGTTTGTTCATTATAAAGTAAACCAATTTATTTTTGAAAAAAATTACGACACTTTTCGAAGTGCAATGGTTTATTTCAAGTTTGGTCACGAGCTAACATTAGGTAGAGAACCATTAGAAAACCATCAGGGGATACTAGATATCCGTTTCATCCTAGTTTGGTGCTCTTCAGTAGTACTCACCGACCGGGGTCACTGGCTACAAGACCAAGTTGCCTGTAGTCCCACTGAGAACTCGTGACCACTGGGTTTCGGTAGGTCTAATATGAGAACAAATACTCACCGAAGACACTGGCTGGTAGTTACGCTGAAATTATGAATTAGTAGAAGTTAGAATTCATGGATAATTGAGTCAGGTTCTAGTGGCTGAATGCTCTACGAGCTTGCTTTGCAACTGGAAAGTCCTAGGTTTGAGCCATGGGGAGTGTATACTGCCATAGAGTCTCAGACTGGGACGACACAGCTCTGCAGCACTCCCTGGTTTTCAACGGTTCCCCAAATGATATCAATCTGTGATCAAAAACTCGAAATAGATCAAATCCCTACGGATTAACACTTGAAAATACCGTGGTTCGATTAATCCATCTCATCTACATATCAGCCACATTATTGTACAATTTATCATGTCTTCAATGCGATAGATAAATTTGAAAATATTATTTTAATCCTTCAAATTAATCAACCTTTCATTTTCATTCCTTTGCATTCCAAGTAGAGTATAGGACCCCAGCTTTGATCTTTGAAATGTGAGAAGCAGTGATTTCGTTGCATTTTTATGGGGTGGGGTTGCTAACCTAATGCCCAAATCTTCCTCCTCTGCCAGACTTAAACTACTGACTAAGTGAGGTTTAGGATTGTATTGATTTTTGTAGAGATTTCATTTGATTGGTTGGAGGATTTCATCATAAGCTGACATCAATTAGAGAACCATTGGAAAACAACCTCGGAGTACTGGACAGCTGTTTCGTCCTAGTGTGGGCCCCTTCAGCATTACACACCCATCACGGGGGTTCAAACTCATGACCTTCTGCTTACAAGGCCAGAGAGCTTGTAGAACATTAAGCTAGTGGGATCCGATCCAATGGCCAATACATAAATTCTATCTTCTGTTAATTCAAGAGTCTCAGACTAGGACGAAACAGCTGTCCAGTACTCTACGCAGGTTTTCCAGTGGTTCTCCAACTGGTGTTTAGGACTGTGTCTGATAGGATTTGAATCCGTACCCTATGCATTGTTGGAGAGCATTCTACCAATGTACCACAGATGCCTTATCATCCTTAAATTATAATTATTGACAGTGAAAGGTAAAAATTCCACCTGTTTATTAAACATAATCGTCATCCCTGAAGGTGAAAAATGCCTAGCTGAATAAAAAACAATGAAGCAAAAAAAGAGAAGAACTATGGAGATGCACAAATTTCAAACATCTGTCTAGTATTCTTTAGCCAAGGATAGTCAAGGAAGAAGTAGACTAATTTCTTTTTATTTTAAGCAGATAATTTTGAAGCAATCTGTTTTAACCATTTATCGTTATTGCATCATCATAATCATCATTATTATTATTATTTTCGTTTCCTTCCTAATTTCTCTGTGTTCCTGGTGGGTAAGATAAAAATGAAATTCACTGATATCACCAATGGGATTTCCTTTTTTGTTGTTGTTGTTTATTACATAGTGGATTTCATTTTTCCAATTATCTTGGCTTAAAGGAATAAAATATCATTCAGATAATGTGAAAAATTTCAAAGACCTGGAAATGAGATAATTTTTAATGAGTCTCCACGCTGACGTCTGTAAAATCTGAACATGTTTTATGCCCCAATAAAAATTTTTTTCATTTAAGCTGTGCTACTAAAATAGCATGCATTTATTTACGCTAAAGAAAGAAGACAGCCAGTTAAGGTAAAATTAACTGTCGGCTTCGACTAAAATGCTTAAGAAAAACTAAAAATTATTTTAGGTTAGACCATGGAGTGATATCAATTAGAGAACGATTGGAAACCAGCGGGGAGTAGTTAACAACCGTTTCGTCTTAGCTTCAAACCCAGTGGCAGTACGCACCCACCGGAAGGGGTTCGAACCCAGGACCTTCCGGTTACAAGGTAAGCTCGTTGACGACCAATTAGCCACTGGGATCCGATTCAGTGGCCCACGAATTGGTAGAAATTTGAATTCATGGGCCATTGTAGCGGGAACGTCTTAGATTCAAAACCCAGTCTGTAGTTCCGATGAGGCCCGAACTAGGAAGAAACAGTTGTCCAGTATTCCCCGCTGGTTTTCAATGGTTCTCTAACTCATATCATTCCACGGTCTAACCTGAAACACATACAATCCCTACACACTAATTCTTTAAAAATTATTATTTTAAATGGATGCAGGGTGAATTTAAGAGAATAGTTATCATAAAAATCAAGTTATATAATTACATTCATGCTTGAATTAACAGTTGAAATAAACAATCAATCTATCTTCCTCTTTAAGTTTTAACTGAAGGCAGTTGAAATCAAATTCATCCTGAGAAGGGAACAATGATTACCCTCTATTTTATACTCATTTTACTACGTCTTATTCTGGCTGGTGGCGACTAGCAGTAGAATCTAGGATGATTATTTTGTCTTATTTGGGACTTGTCAGATGGATATATATGCATTCCAACTAAGACTTGGAGCTCGCACCCATCAATTTATATGGCATATCAACAGAGACTAAGCACCTCCGTCTGACATAACTGATTAACGAGGAACGCAAATCAATTTAAAAATAACTTTGCTACATTTCGACTCATTTATGAACCCCTGAAGTGACGGATCAAATTATAAGTCATTTCACCCACCAATACTTTTCAAGCTGCTTTAGTTCGTTCACTAATCGAACCATTGTTTATTGTAAAAAGAAGTCTTTTACTTGGGATTTCATCCTGCATCGTACCTGGGTTGTTTCTCTTACCACCTTCTTACAAAAGATAAATTGTGAAAAAAGCACGTTAGCTTTATTTAGAGTAACTGACGATTAAAATTTGTAACTAATTCAAAATGTAATTTAGGGAGATAACTATTGAGACAAAAATATTCAAAGTGAAGTTTGTCGGAGGTTCAGTGGTGGAATGGCCACCATTCATATGCATGCCTCAGGGTTCGATTCCCGTTCGAAGTGTACTTAAACCTTGCTTAGTGCACAGAAAGTCTGGGAAATGAGGAAGGTTGGGGGATGCAGCTAGCAATGTCACCCCATACAAAGAAACTAAAACTATCGCTGCTGAAAATTCAAAAATCAAGCTTGAAACTCTGTGTTCTCCCCCCCCCCCAGAATGCAAAGGAATAATAGAAACAGTCAGAGTAAAACCTTCTGAGAATAGCGTTTCTGCTCACAGATCAACTAGTGTATCCACCAGGAATCCATACCTTACCAACTTCTGCTTCCTTAAATTTAATGCCAGTCATTTAGGCTTTCAGGATTATTCATAAAATTTTCTGCATTTCTTCTGAAACTCTAAATTAGTGATAAGGATACTTCTAGCATCTAAATAGATATCTAAAATAGTTCTTTCTCCTTTTTTGATGGCTATATGATATCCAATATATACACTTTAAAAAGATGTAGGACAGCAAAGAATATTCGTTGCGTAACTCCTCTTCACAGTTGTGTTCTAAGAGGTCATGGAAATACCAGTAAATCTCAGCTGTTTGTAACAACTGCTAACGAAACCTATGGAATAACACATCTTTGAAAAACTGAATAAATTATGAAACTTACCTAGGCGATCTAGAAACACTGAGTGATGAATAGCATTCAGAAGTGAGTACCATTAAAACTGCAAGTGCTTGGAAACAGGAAAACTGTTCATAGGAGTAAGAGATTCACAGTATTTATATGGTCTATTTTAAAGTCATCAGTTTGAAAAGAAGTAGGAAGAATAAGGAAACTAGGGAATATGGATTACGGACCGAATTATTATACACTTCTTAAAAAGAGTTTAAGGCCACAGTAGTAAAAAGGATTGTACGTCGATGGCACAGCAATAGAATGTCCGCCAACCACGCCTCATGTGGTTCGGGGTTCGATCTCCAGCGGACGCAGTCGCTGGTAAAGAGGGAAGGTTGGGCATAGGGCCAGTAACACCATCCCGTGAAAGTAAACACCGCAGCTACTGAATCTTCGAAGCACTAGTTTGAAGGCTCCCTATGTTCCACTGGGAATGTAAAGGAATTTTTAAAGAAAATAAAGAAAAAGTAAAAAGGATTAGACAAACCATTTTGGTATATACAGTTCAGGGTTTTCCCTGTATATAGCAAAAGCTTCCGTTGTGGACAGAAGATGACACCGGAAACCCCTCAGATGTTCCGGCCTTACCTTGTATATCAATTTTTGGAAGATTTCTCTATTAATGTGGAATAATGTAAAAGCACAAGGTTTAATTTCTCCTTTCAACAATCATACTGGAAGATGTTCTTATGCACAGTTAGACAAAATCCAACTGATACAAAACAAGGGCAAGTGAACTGATAATATGCACGTAGGTGTTGCCAAAAGTCTCTGATATTTCGAGGAGTATATACGTACTAAAATGCATACATGAGATAACAGAGCCATGTATGATGGTATAGACTGCCTGATTGAGGTCGTTGAGACACTGAGAACCAATGGTTATTGACTGTTAGTGATATCGCTCAAAGTCATTCTTAATGGTATAGATGCATTCACTCTTTTTGTGGACTGTTAGGTTTATCAAATCAACATTTGAATAAGTAATCGTAAAATATATATTATCTATGTATAAACTGGAATTTGTATGATTGAAGATCATTTACCCATTATTCATTTATTTATTTTTTCATTACTTCTACTTACAGAATTACTGGCGGAGAATTATTTGAACGGATTATTGATGAATCATTCGATTTGAATGAATCTAGATGCATAAAATTTATGCATGAAATTCTTCAAGGTGTTGAATATATGCATTCCCAAAATGTAATACATCTTGATCTCAAGGTAATCTATGTCTTATTGTTATTATTATTATGTTTTCCATATAACTATATAAATTTTGTTAATACTCATATGAAAAAAAGTGTATTTATCTAAAAGGTTTCAGTTCACTGTATAAATCTGGTGCCTTAAACATACAGAAGACAAATATGAAGTCATTGCTTCTGTGTGATTCAGAGACTTGCTATTCAGCGTCACCAGAAGCATTTCCAATAGCTTGCTAGAGACCTTGATCAACAGTTGTCCTGTTCGCTTCATACTGAAAATCAGATAGCCAGCAAAAGAATGAGCAACAAGGAACTCTTCCCACGAACCAATGAAGAACGTATCTTCCAGCAAATATGCAGAAGGAAATGAAGACAGTTTGAACACATACAAAGGAGGTCGTTAAGTGATATCACATGCCAGACCAGCCCTCGAGTGAAACTCAAATGAGAAACGACCAGTTGAACGTGAGGGAAGCAGCATGAGGAGGGTATGAAAGCGTACAGGCAATGTGGAGTCAGATGATGAGGACTGTAGAGAACAGGGTGAAATGCACATATGCTGTTGATGCCCTACATGCAAACTTACCTTTTCAGTATAAGTCCACTATGCTTAGTGACATACTTTGAAGTGGATTTCTTATGCGAGCATAATTACTCAAAAATAACATCAGATGACGATATGACTTTATCACAAATCGAAAAAATTTAGAAACCATGAGCCACTGGATCACAACCCAGTGTGTGAATAGTATATTCGCTCAAATGGTAATCTGAAGATGTTGGATTCAACTCTTGCTACAGTTGTGGATGCGCGCTGCCGGAGAGGTCTTAGTGAGAAAGAAACACTTGGCCAGTGACCAATACGTTTCAGTGATTCCCTAGTGGATATCCGTTGGTGACAAAATCTAACTTAAAATTTTCAAGAATTAGTTTGTAGGGGTTCTCGCCACTGACTGCCTACAGGACGAAGTTGCCTGCAGTCCTAGTGAGAAGTCGTGACCAGTGGGGTCCATCCAATTGAGAGTGAGGATGAAGTCCCACCGATGAAATTGGTTAGTGGTCGCGCTAAATCACGAATTGGTGGGAGTTAGAATTCATGGGTTGCTGAATCGGTTTCCAGTGGCTGAATGGTCGTCAAAGACCTTGCCTTGTAACCGGAAAGTCCTGGATTGAAAACGCAGTGAGTGCTTACTATTGATGAGTTCGAAACTAGGACGAAACAGCTGTCCACTACTCCCTGTGGCTGGTTTTCAATGGTTCTCTAACTGATATCAATCCGTGGTATAACTTAAAATATCAAATTTTCAAAATACATTGCCGACTGATCTCAGATATCTGTCATTTACTCCTGAAAACATTCTGTAAATATCTGATTAAAACGTAACTAAATATCTTTTTACTTTTGGGTTGAGAAGCTGGTGTAAAAGCGCTATTTTTAAAGTGGTAAACAACTTTAGTTCAGTAGGATTAGTATTCATGCTGATGTATTAGCTAATTTTAAAGACACATAGCATTGACCTATTTTACACATATTATTCGAATGAGGCAATAATTTGAAGATCTTTTATCAAAGAAGAATGAACAGAACTTCAAGTTAAGGAAAGGCAAAGAACACTTAACGTTAACTTTATTTATTCCTTAACGTTCCCTGCGGAACATAGGGCTCCTTAAAGCTAGAAACTTGAAGTTTCTCTGGCAGTTGTGTTTATTTTTATGAGAAAGGGTAGCTAGCCTCATGCCCAAACTTTTCCTCTTTACCAGTCTTATTACTGACTTAACGAGGTAAGTGAGTGCGTCGGCGGGGGATCGAACCTCCAACTGCATTAGGCGTGGTTGGTGAGCATTCTACTGCTGTGCCACCGACGCACAATATTAACGTTTAATTCACTCTAACAACCACACACACACACGCCCACTTCTAAGTAGGGCCATATTTTCTAAAATATAAATGTTTCCTATCTTACTTTTTATTTAACTGATTTACTAATATTGTCCGTAAAACGTGCAGCCCTAATAAACCAAATCCTTTGACTTTAGTTCCAACATTTGCTTCATGCAATTGACCAAGAGTCATTTCATCATCAGACGGAAATATGGAAAATTATTTGTTTTATCTCGCAAAATTTTATGTACCTTTTCTGTTATAGCAATAAAGACGCCAGTAAACAAATTTATTTTTGTTATTTGTGATTATTGTTGCCTAAATTCATTTTTAATAGCTATAATGTTGTAATTTTCAAGTAAAAGAATGTTGAAGGTATGTGTGCTTTAAGCTAATTTTCATATCACCCTTAATTATGTTATAGGCTGCTGGTTTGAAAGGATAAGAAGCATTAGAGGTGTAAATTTCAAAAGCCATACGAAGCTAGAGGGAAACGCTCACCTCTCTCTGTTTCTCTTAGTTTTCTTTGGCATTTTAAATAAGCAATTAAATGTGCAAAATATAGCAGTTAGGGAAATTTAAAATATCAGTAAACTGACTGACTTCATGTGATATGAATCCCACCTCTCATCTCTAATGTGTACACTTCTAAGTGTGCACAAGTTGGGGTGTTCAAAGAACATAAAACTGAATGTATTGTTTAGAGGTGTGACATATACATGTATATATATCCCATCAAAAAATGCCACGTCCTATGTGAAAATGTTTCTGACAACACTACATGTTTCAAAATTACTTCTTTGTGTTGTTTCATGCCTGAAGAAATCTTTATCCTTGGTAAATAACGTTAAACAAACAACTTTCTTTTAGAGTATTTCCATGGTGATAGTGTGTGGCAATTTGATTGGTTACACGTTTCATCTTGAAGTGACATCACTTAGAGAACCATTAGAAAACCAGCAACCAACAACTCGAAAATTATTCTGATGCTCACTAGTGACCAGCTCTATACAGAAGGTTACCTGGGATTCTAGTGAAACGCCATGACCAGCGGGGTCCATCAAGTTGAGTAAGAGGACAGTTACTTGTCGATGACAATCTCCATATATATATATATATCATCAATTGGCAGGAGTTGGACTTCATTGGACCATCGGATCGGACTACGAGCCCGCAAAGTGAACTGAAGGTTTTAGGTTGGAACTCCAGAAGGTGCGTACCGCCATAGAGTCTTTAACTAGGACAAAACAACTTCCCAGTACTCCTTGGTTTCCTAGTAGTTCAGCTCCTGGTTAAAACCGTAACCAATCAAATCACTGCAAATCGAAACTTTGATGATTTTTACTTTTATCAAATTTGAGCAAGTGCCACTGTATATCTTTTCAATAGTTGTATATGCATGTATCTATTTGATTGCATAAAATTTTTATCATTGTATTTTAGCCTGAAAATATACTATGTTTATCAGGAACAAGTTTTAAGACAAAAATAATTGATTTTGGATTGGCTAGATTTTATGAAAACAAACATCTTTGTGTTCTATTCGGTACACCAGAATTTGTATCTCCTGAAGTGATTTCATATGAACCAGTTTCACCTGCTGCCGATATGTGGTCACTCGGTGTTATATGTTATGTAATGTAAGTTATATATGTACATATTTCACGTACAATGAAACAGATTTTATCATAGATTTGTGGATCGTATTCTATTTGAATTATGTTGCGTTGTCGTAATACGAAAGGCTAAATCTTTACAGGAAATTTTTACTGTAACTCAAGGTTATCAAGTGAATTCACTTTTTGAAACAATGAGTTCCCTTTATGAATTTCTATGAAACAATAAGAAGACGTAATTTATCTGAATTGTGTAATATTGTATTTGTGTAATACATTTTGAACAATCTGATCACACACTTACTTGTCATAGGAATATATATATATATACATATAACCGAGGAGCCCGTAGGGTTCTTGCATATCAAATGTGTAGTGGACGCCCATGGATGGTATTAGTTGGCTTCAGCTGTATATCTCGAATTGTTGGAAGTTAGAATTCATGAGTCATGGAATGTAAACTCAATGACTGAAGTAGTCAACTAGCTGATCTCGTAACTTCAAAGGTCCTGGATCCCATCACTGATGGATTCGAGAGTACACGTTGCTGAAGAGACTCAAACCAGAACAAAATAGTTATCCAGGACTCTACTGTCTCCAATGATTGTCTAACTAACTTCGGTTTGTGAAGAAATCTCATAACTATTTATTGATGAGTTAATTCATCACATGTAAAACTGTCCATTTCATTATCTACTCGGAAAAAGTATTTCTCAGATAAAAAAGATTTACATATGTTCAATAGTCCAATCAAAGTTATGAATAAGGAAGCATTTTATGAAAGTTCCAGCCAATTAACGTTTTGCTCAAATGACAACAAAGAATATTTTTAGAAAATGAAATAGATGATAAATAGTTTAGGAGATCAACTTCATGCAAGAAGACAAAACAAGAATAAATTCTAGATCATATGACTAACAGTCAGGCAAAAATTGTGTAGGTACCGTATGTTTAATGTGCATCTGTCTGTAGAAATCACTACTGTCGTCATAGTCACTTGATTTGCTATCATTGAACAGTGCTTTATCAGAAAACCGATTTAATTAATCAGTAGGGCGGAGCAGGTCGGGTGTGAGGACAAATACTTGCCGAAGACATTGGCTAGCAGTCGCGCTATGTTATGAATTGAAAGAAGCTAGAATTCATGGATCACTAAATCGGATTCCAGTGACTTAACAACCTACGAGCTCGTCTTGTAGCCGGAAGGTCCTGGGTTCGAACCTCCTGTGGTGGGTGCGTACTGTGAAGAGTCCCAAACTAGGACGGAACAGCTGGCTGTCCAGTACTCCGAGGTTGTCTTCCAATGGTCCTCTAACCAATGTCATTTTCTGATGAAATCCTGAAATACATCTATTTTCAAGGAGGTAACTGTAACAAGAACTTACATCCTATCATAATTGTATTGAATCCTAATGCAATTTACTGTTTCTCTGCCTTTACAGGCTATCTGGTTTATCACCGTTTATGGGAGAAAGTCAAGGAGAAACGTTGGCTAATATTATGCGTGTTAAATATCATTTTGATTATCCTGAATTCGCAGAAATTTCTAACGATGCAAGGGATTTTATTAAAAAGCTTTTAGTAAAAGATCCAAGGTAATCATATTTTTACACTTTTTTTACTTTCAATCTGTCGTTTGTTAAAAATCAAAAGTAAATTTCATTCTATTTATATGTGAGTTAAACTCTCATTCTAAACAAACTAAGCGTTTAAAATTCTGTGTGGGTTTATAACAATCCTTGTAAAATGGGCTTTTTAAAACAATCATTTTGCTGAAAACTTATGAAACTTATTTTTATTACATCAGCACACAGGCTCTCGTAAATTATGTGTCTAAAGACAGAGATCTGGTGTCCTCCCTTCTATTCATGGTTTGTGTAAAAATAGGTTCCCACTGGGGCATAGGGCTTCAACACCACATCTCCATTTCTTCCTTTTCTCTGCAGTCCTTTTTAGCCGGCTCCACGACTTTTCATAAGCTCTCACTTCCCACTCACACGGTCTCCTTCATGTCACCCACGGACCAACACCCAACTCATCTTTTCCCATTCAGGTTCCACTAGAAGGCCTTGTGGGCGGTCTCACTCAGCAGTCTTCTTACTCAGTGTGTGTACTGTCCACCTCCAATCCCTTCTACCTATTTGTCGGACAATAGGTTTTTCTCAGTTTGCGACCAGAGTTCCTTGCTCCTAATTCTTTCTGGCTATCTGATCTTTAGTGGTGAGAAAAGACAATTGGTGATGGTAGAAGTCTGCAACAGCCTGTTTGAAATACTTCTGGTGACGCGAAAAGTCTCTGAACCATATAGAAGCACTAACTGGCCTGTTACTGATTTTGGAAATCAAAATCTTGTTCCTTATTCTCAGTGCAGTAGATTGTCAAACTAATTTCAGATTATTGAAGATCTTTCTGACTTTTCCGATTCTGACTGTCCATGATATTTTCATCTTTTAGGCCTGTACTGAAGCAATGTTGTCTAATTGAGTGAAAGAAGTGAACCCTTCCAAATTTCTCCTGTTGATGGTGCTTGTGGTTGTTGTTGTTGGTTGGTTATTTTCATCACCTTTATCTTCTTGATATACACCCGAAGTCCTGTATCTGATGCCTGCCTCTTTTCCCAACTTGTTGGTTTTCACCTGTAGATCTTCGATCTTATATGACATTAGATATAAATCTTCCAGGAAGTTCAGAGTTTTTGGAGTCTTCTTATCAGTCCAACGTATTCCTATCTTCTCGCTCCTCATGGCCTTCCACATGATCCAGTCCGTCACAGTGGGGAATATCATCAGTGATAGTAGGAAGCTTTGTCTTGCTGCTGTCTTCACTTCGTAAGATTCACTGAGTTCTACATTGTGAATCGCTTAACATGTCGCATTATCATATGGCTGTTGAATGAGGCTGATGAAGATTTGGAGCAGTGCATTCTGTTGTGTTGAAGTTGTTTCCAAATTACTCCACAGTCAACGATGTTGAAGTTCTTTTCAAAGTATGAAGTCGAGGTAGATATTTGACTGCCATTCTATGCTCTGTTCGACGATGATTCGTAACATTGCTTTTCTGAATCCAACTTGTTCTGGCCAGAGTTTTGCATCCAGTGAATCTTTTAGGACAAATATATATTCAACTTCATTTTACAGTTGTGTGCACACCTCTAGTGAGCCATTAGTTCAAGAAGTGAATCTTTGTTTCACTTTCTGCACGAAGTAGTCTGAAGACAACTCAAAATGGGAAGGCATCGCTTAATCCAGTAAATGTACAGCAATGATATAAGTCTCTTTTCTCAAGATCGCTAGCTTATTACATTGTATTAAGAACAATTTGTGAGACTTTATCCTAAGGTTATTGGGAGGACATAACTTTCTTTATATCAGGCCGATAATTTCATTGAAGAAATACATCTCTAATGCTTTTTAGTTGGAAGCTTTCAGTTAAAAGTTACCGACACTGGTGACACTTGTAGAACTGCAAAGAGCCACTCACACCTCAATAATGAAGTAAAGATAACAATCAGAATTCAGTCACAAAACACCAACTAATATTTCTCTGATTTCACTATGTCAATCACTTCCTTTTTTCAGTTAGAAAAGCATTATGCAAGTAAATTACATACAGTGACAATTCTCCTTCACGTGAATAATTTTCTTCCATGGAACTAATACTAAAAGATCAATAGTTTTGTGTAACAATAGAAGTTTTTTGATTATAGCTTGATTCCACACCGTATTTTCGGTACAAGTATGGAATTTTCAGCATATGATGTTGGTAGCCCAAATATTGCAGGCCGACCAATTGATATCAGGTGTGCGTTGGCAGGGGATCGAACCCCGGACCATTTGCATGATCGACGAGAGTTCTAACCGCTGTGCCACCAACGCACTAAGTTAGAGTGTAATTCCGTATTAGATAAGTTCGCTTCGTATGGCACACTATTAAAAGCTGTATGATGTTTCAGGCAAAATGTGTAGCACATTTCTACTATGCTCTAGACAATGTAATGCAGTAATACAACATCAATTCCAGATATTTGAAAAAAAATTGTAACTGAAAAATAAGAGAAGGAAAAGAATTTCGACGTGGAATTTATCACGAACAAACACCAGTTAGAGATCACTGAGAATCAGGGAGCACTGGAAAGTTATTTCGTCCTAGTTTAAAGTTCTAAACATCGACCTTGAGCTCACTGATGGCTACTGGATGTATGTCCTGAAGCTATACTGAGAAGCCATGGCCAGTGAGGTCCATCGCGTCAAGGAGTTATGGCTGAGGATAGTGCTCCATCAGGAATTTATAGAAGCTAAAATTCACAGATCATCGGATTCCAGCCCAAATGGTTGGATGGTTAGCGAGCTTGGTCTCACTACATGAAGGTTCCAGGTTCGATCTCTGATGGGGTCTTGGGGTGCACGCTGATGAAGAGTTCCAGTTTTGCAAGAAACGGCTGTCCAGTGCCCCCTAGTTCACAGTTATCTCTAAGTGATTTTGGTTTGTGATTAAATCCACACTGAAATTAATCCAAATTCCTATAAAAGCACGTAATCTAATAGACATTAAATATCTTGGTTTTTGTGCCATTCTAGTTGGTGACTTCATTCTTAGACGAAATATAATAGAAGTCTTTATACTAATAAATCTATTGAACCTAACGTAATTTCATTGATTCTGAATACGTCAAATGGCTGAGAACTGGTCTATCTCACGAACAAGTAGCTCTTAATAGTCAAATCAAAATAGACCCAAGATCTGACGAATAACAGCTTAGAAATATTTTATCCCGAAGCATATTTAATAGTTCTGTTTATAATATATAAATGCATATATACCTGTTTATTATTACAAATTCGCAACACGGATAAAATCATACTGTAATCCTTTCCCTTTTCCTTTTGAATTGCTCTCCTACCTTGCTTACCGGATTTGTTAATATAGAAAGAGACTCACAGCCACTGAGTGTTTACAACATCAATGGTTAAAGGTAAGTAAACGTAATGATTTATTTTAGTAGCTTATTCATGATGGTTTAGCTTATCTTTTTTCTAATTAAACACTCGGACAGAATCTAACGGTCCATTAGTTCTAACTTCTTCTAATTAGCGATATGTGGCTCTACCGCCAGCCACACCCAAGTTGGTGGACTCTACTGGTGAAAACTTCTCACTAGAACTCCAGGCAAATTCATCCTGTAGTCACTCACTAGTGAATTCACATGAGCATTAAGACAGTGTTCACCAGAATGAAGTTACTTGAATTTCCAGTAGGAAGTTGTGACAGCCGGAGTCTACCAAGTTGAGTGTCAGGCTAAATACTTACCGATGACATTTTCTAGCGGTCGCGGTGTATATCGTGAAGTTAGAACTGATTAGCCATTAGATTCTTTCTCAAAGGCTGAATAGTTAGCGAGCTCACCCCGTAACCCTAAGATCCTGGGTCTGATCTATTATGGGGATTTTGCATGCGTACTACTGAAGAGTCCCAATCAAGGATGAGACAACTACGCAGTACTCCCTGGTATTCAGTGGTTCTGTAATTGCAGTCAGTTCGTTATCAATCTTGAAATCAATCATATCACTGCAAAGTAACACTTAAAAATGATAAATTTGCTCTCATCAACCATTCACTTCAAACTAAATAGTCATTGGTGAAGATACTACTATTGATCTGTTTAAGTATTTGTCTTTCAGTCAGTGAGTTTTAACCTCGAATCCAGCTTCACCTTCTACAGCCTAGCCAACTGTACAGTTTCATCAACTCTCACGTACAGTAGGTGTGGTTCATACCATAATGCTTCATGATGAAATTGGAATTCTAGCCAAATAGTCAATGAAGTATAACTCCAAAGTAAATGACTACAACCTCTAGGGACTGTCAACGACGTCAGTAGACAATACAACTGGTATGGTTTCCAGTATTTCATCTAACGAGTTCTATTTACTGTTGCCGTTATTAGATGGCGATCAGAAACTTAATACGTAAAATAAACACACATACGCACACACATACACCAAAGTTAATTGACTGAATCTGCAAAAAAGAGGAATGATTTATTTCTTAAGTAAGAAAGTTCTCTTTATATTTCCTCTCAAGATAGCTTAAATAACAAACGAAAATATAGATAAACAATCTATGTATTTCTCTTTCACTTAATTACTTCATCAAAGTGTTCATGTTTCTATTTGCCAAAAACACTTTTCACACAAACCAGTGAATCATAAATATGGTGTCGGCTGATTTAGTAATAAATCCTAATTTCTATTGGTTGATATGATGTTGTGATTTTGAAGCAGTGAGAATTATCATTTCGCTAGTTTTATAAGTTTGAGTCGAATTCTTAAAAGGACTCGTCTGAAGCCTCAGCTGTTTTAAACACCACATTCTGTCATATACTAATGTTTGATGTAGTGCTATAAGACCTGGAACCACGTGTCAGGTGATCCACAACGGGATATTCAGCAAGGCGTTCAAAGTGAATACAGGAGTAAAACAAGACTGTCTATTATCACCAATGATATTTTTAATCATGGTGGACTGGATTATGCTTGAGAGTGTGGGAAGCAAGAAGACAGGAATACGCTGGACCACTCATAAGAAGACTCTAGAAGATTTGGATTTCGCAGATGATATATGTATAATGTCACACAAACTCGAAGACTTATAGGCAGACGAAAACCAACAAACTGCCTGAAGAAGCAGAGAAGACAGGACTGCAGATGAACACAGAAGACGGAGGTGATGAAGATGACCAACCAACAATCAATAACAACAACCAGCACCAATCACCATCAACAGGAGAAATTTGACAGAGGTTACTCCCTTCACTTATCTAGACAGTAAACATTGTTTCAACCGCAGGGTGAACTGATGAAAATGTCGAGCCTAGCCGGAATCGGAGAGGCAACATACATTTTCATCAACCTGAAACCAGTTTGGAAATCTCCTGCACTCCACCTCAGAATAAAAGACAAGATTCAGATTTTCAACACAAATGTGAAGTCAGTCAGTGCTTCTATACAGGTCAGAAACTTGCACTGCATGTCACTAAAAGCACTTTCAATAGGCTGCTTCAGAATTTTGTCAACAGCTACCTTCGCTGGCTTCATGCTGAGGATCAAATGGCCAGAAAGAACTAACAACAAGAAACTCTGGCTGGGAACAAACCAGCCAAGAGCTGATCGCTTAAAAAATATGTAGGAGAAAGTGGAGATGGATCAGGCATACACTGAGGAGGCCATCGAATGACATAACGCGCAATGCAGGCCATCTCTCGGATGGAATTCCAATGGAAAGCGACGAGTGGGTTGTCGGCGCGAGGGTGATGTGGAGGAGATCGTGTGAGAAGGAGATGAGAGATTATGGTCAATCGTGGACTCAGCTGAAGGAGACAGCAGAAAACAGAACAAAGTGGCGATGTGTTGTTGAAGTCCAATGTTCCACTCGGAAACCAAGGGAGTAATAATAATGATAATATAAAAGACCTAGAATCTTTGTTTACCTGATTCCGAATGTTCAATAAATAATTCTTTTCCGTAATTTTTATGCCACTTTCTCTATCCTACGTCGACAGTTCAGTGGTAAAATACTCACCAACCATGCTATACGTGGTTCAGTCTTTGATCTCCGACTGACACACTTCTAAACCTCGCTTACCTTGATTGCGAGTGAGGTAAACACCACTGTTGATGAAACTTCAAAACTGAGGCTTGTAGCTCTATGTTCAAATCACAATGCAAATAAAGTAAATTCTCTAATCTAACTATAATTTTGGGAAATATGGTGATATTAAAGTAGTTTTAAGTGTGAACAGATGAACTTAAACACTTCATTCTAAGTAATCACATCAAGTATCTTATTGTGATAGATTCATTTTAGTTGAATTATTGTCAGAAATTGATATGCTTGTATCCTGACTGAAAAGGGATTAAAATTATGTCTAAATTGGTCCTTATCAAGTTTCTACGATATACTTTTTGTGTATTATATATGTATATATCTGATACAATGATACTTGAATCCAGTTAACCTTTTGTTTAATTATAGTCACCTATCTTCATGATATTATCTCATTTCATTCATTCATTCATTACAGCAAAGGAAGAAAACGCTTAAACGTTCAGGAACAGTCAGTAAAAAACGTTTGAAACACTTTGTCTATAGACGTAAATGGCAGGTTAGTGATTCTGACGCTTTAAAATACCAGATTTTTCACCTTCGATACTGATTTTTAACTTACTCGTATGTTTATTGTTCTAACGCTTATTTAATTCATTGTAACACTTGTGCTGCAAGCAGTGGGCATCTTCACTGGTTTCCCCACAAACTATTATGTGTGTGTATGTGTGTGTGCGCTGCCGGGGACTTTCAAATTAGGACAACAACATTATTTCCAGTTCTTCTTGATAGTAGTGTTTCGTTCATATCCAAGTCGGATAAAATTGTACAAGGCATATATAGCAAGTAGGACTTCAGATTGGAAGTAGGATGAATAGAAATGATGTGATTTCTTGATGTCTATGGATTGTAAGGTGAGTACACCTGTTAACATATGTATTGTCAGCAAAGTCGACTCGTTGTGGTCTGAACGCAGGTAATCGATATTTGTGTTCTACTGTGAAGCTGACCAAAACTTCCTTGAGACACACACAGTTACGAAACACTCCAAAGACACCAAGAAGATGGTGCTTCGTCGTAAGACCCATGGTTCCATTCAACAATTATCATATTGAAAACTCACAGTTACTTCAACAGTACAGTTAGGTGGGCAGTTATACAAGCTAGATGAGTTTCCAGTACAAAGAAGTACTGCACAATAAAATTAGTTAACTAAAATTCAACCGTAAGGAGTACCCTAGAAACAAATAGAAAATTCCCAATAAGGTGGGAATAAAACTCTGTCCACAAGAATCATACACTGACAATTCCCACAGACAGTCCAAAGTCAGAATAACTTTCATTCACTAAAGTAAAATCATATCGTAAAATAACACGTTATCAATGTACCTCACAACCACAAAAAGAAGCATTAAAATTAGAGATTAAACAGGAATAAAGACAAATAATGAGGATCAAGTCAGCATATGACATGCAAGTGTCAGAACAATGGTATACAGTCTACGAGGAAAAGGGATAATAGTGATAAAGTTAGTTGAAACATCCAAATAAGCATAAATGTTGTAATTAGATCGTTGAGAAGGGATTTTCCAAACAATTACTCCGTTGCCGCATGCATGCTTTTAAGAAAGGATATATATATGTATATAAATGACCCATATATACAAGAGCCATTTTAAGTCGCTTCAAAATAGGACCCCACTTAGATTTACTTTCAAGTTATTTTATCACCCTGATGTGTAGAGAATACTTGACCCTATGGATAGATATCATCTAGGAAATCAAATTAATGACCACTACAGTCGAACAAATAAAGGGTATAGAACATTCAGATATGTTTTGTGACCAAATTTTCAAGTATTGGTTTTGCCCTATTCATGCAGTGACCTGGGATTCTAGTAGGAAGTCGTGACCAGTAAGGCACAGCGAGTTAAAGGTGAAGTGGTAACTCATAGAAGAAGACATTGCGAAGTGGTCGCGCTATGTCATGAATTGGAAGAATCTGGAATTCGTGTATTGGGCATTGGATTGGGTCCCAATGGCTTAGTGTAACCAGAAGGTCCAGGGTGCGTACTGTGAAGAGTCCCAAACTAGGACAAAACAGCTGTCCACTACTCCCAGGCTGTCTTCCAATGGTTCTCTAACTGATGTCAGCTCATGATGAAATCCTCCAACCGATATATAAATTTTTCGGTTTTAAACTTATCAGAATTTAAGAAATTTTCACTGTTTTAGGAACTTCCTTAGATTATGAAAAATCGTTTTGAAAATTTCATGTAAAGATATAATTTATAGATGAATTGGTGGTTAGTAAAGTGGACCGATTTATCCCAGGATTTCAGCTGTTACTCACTATTTGGCTGATGGTGACTAGCAATGGAATCCAGGATATGGATTTCATCTTATTTGGGACTCTTTAGCTGGATATGCCTACATCTCCACTGAGTGACGGATGATGTTTCCATTGAGACACAACGGAGACCAAGCATTTCCCACTAATATAGATCATCAACAGGATATATATTCCATATGATTTAGTTTAGATTGCCAGGTAAAGTAATCAACCTAGAAGACAACCTACATTAAACATGTACAAGGAAGTAGTGATTAAAATACACTAATTAGTGTAATTATCAAAGTTTCTTAATGCGATACCTACTTTCAGACGATATTTTGTCACTTCAGTTTCAGATTTTCCCGCCGATTGATTGAACCGAAGTGCTCGGTCTCAGGTTGACATGTCGGTTTCTTGTGCAGATGCTTCGACGATATCTGGACATGTAATCAGAAGTCAGTTAGTGGGTGGTGACTAGCAGTGGATTCCAGGATGCGCAACCTGAAGTGGAGCACTTCAGTCCACTCAATCGACGGAAAAACCTAAAATTGAATTAACCAACTAATATGACCCAGGTGGCTCTCGTGGCCCATGTGTTCTAGTGGCATACGCTTTGGCATTTGAAACTATAGGCACTGGGTTCGAGCCTCGGTAGGAACATCATCACTCACTGCAGAATGCAGGTGCATCCAGCCGACGAGCCAGTCCTAAATATGACGACATGCGCATCCTGGATTCCACTGCTAATCACCATCCACCAATTAATATTTTGTCAAATTATGAGAAGACCACAGTAGCTGAACTTGATTAAATTAAATTCTCTTTTCTTCTTCTTCTGTTTTTGTGTTTCAGAAAGCTGTTAATGCAATCATAGCTCTTCAACGTATGGGTGTTGTTCTTCAACACTCACCAGTAATCATGGGCAAACACAGTAATCAAACATTACAAACAGCAAAACGATCACTTGAAAGTGAAACAAAACGACTGCAGCGTCCTCAAGTAGCTGAACTTAAACTGCCACCGAATAGTCAACCAACATCAAGTGGAAAAGATAAGTCATCACCTGACATAGCTAGAAAGACTTCAAGTATATTTAGAAAAACCAGTTTCTTCAATAAAGCAAAGAAGAGTGACACCAGTAGTGTGACTACTCCTAATACTACTACTGCCAATAGCGTTGTTAGTAGTAAAAGTAAACTTGTTAAAAATTCTTCAGATTCATCTCCATTGCCTAAAAACAAAGAAAATTCACCACTAAAGATAAAGCGTAAAGAAAGTGGGAAGGGATTTTTCTTTCAAAGAAATAAATCAAACCAAAGATCCATATCATCAGATAGTTCATCGAATAGACCGGAAATCAGTGAACAAAACTCGAGATCATCAGTTATTTCAGAATCCACTGGATCAACTTCTAAACTTAGAAAAGATTCCTCTTCGTCATCTGCTAATACTAAAAGTCAGAAAAAGGATAGTTTAACAAAAACAACAGCAGCAGCAACAGCAGCAACAACGACAACAACATCTCAGCAAAGTCAGAAATCAACACCAAAATCAGCAGCTTTGCCGCCCCCATCTGTTTCCCCGAAAACTTCTATAACTCTCCTGTCCGCTAAAAAGTCAACAATAAGCAGTACAGTTAGTGAGAAAGAAAAATCCTTAAATTCTTCATCAACTGGTGGTACTGTTAAAGCAAAGTCAATAACACCTGAGAAAACAATTACTACAACTCATAATACTGTTGCTGGCAATCTTACCAGTGGTAAAATGACCACCACTTCATCTACAACACCAACAACTACCGATAAAAAGCTTAATTCCAGCCAGAAAACAACACCTACAAAAGTAAAGAAGTTATCGGCTACCACTACAAAATCAGATATTGCCGCTAAGATCAGTTTCTTTGCAAACTTATCTAAAGAAGAAAAAGTCAAATGATGCTGTACATTTATTTCACTTCTTGCTCTCCTCATCTTTTCTGTGTAAATTTCTATCTCACTTTTATTATATATTCCATTATATCTTCATTACTGTTGTATAGGTAGGTATCAAGAATTCAGATTCGGGCGCTTTTTTCTAGTGACCAGAAAGATTGGCTGAGGTAACACAGACTATATTATTATTTCAAAAATCCAAAGAAGAATAAAATCACGAGAATGGCAGAGAAAAACACACACATTTTGTAATCGTAATTTTTCTTCTTACATATCACTTTATTATTATTTGTAATAATTATTATACGTCATTATTATCAATGTTGATTGACGTTGTCTTTTCAATCAATCAATATTCAAGAGTTCGTTCAATGTCCAATGGATGTCATTGTAGATCTCATTATATTATCTGTTGCATTATTTATTGATTAATATTATTGTTGTGCTTTCATGTTTTCTCAGCTTCTTTTTTTTAAATTATATAATTTGTGTGAATAAATATTAGATCCATTTTGATACATATACATATATATCGGATTTTCCTTATTGCAATGTACAAAATTTCACCTGTTCAACGATGATCATCAACTGATCGTATGTTCTGGTCGTAATTATTCAATCGACCAATAAACGAATGAATCATTCATTTCATTATTGATTGGATATATTTCATGTTCCTGTTTTTATTTATATCTCTTTTACTATTATTATTATTATTTTTCGTTCATTTCATTTAATCTAAAATGAAAAGAGTAACCAGTTAATGTCTTCTTTCATTTTGAGAGTAAAGTACCACTCGAGGAAAAAAATTGAAGTAAGCAAAGGTTATTAAATTCGTCTAGTTATTCAGAGATTGTCATTACTGGACGACATCTCTCTATGATGACTTCTTTTGAGTTCTGTAGTAAAGGTCAACTTCAATGGTGGAACTAGTGAATGAAGATGAGAATGACAGCAAATTAACAATCTGCAATTACATGGAGGATTTCATCATGAGCTGACATCAGTTAGAGAACCACTGGAAAACAACCTGGGAGAACTGGGTAGCTGTTTCGTCCTAGTTTGGGATTCTTCATCAGTACGCACCCACCGGGGTTCGAATTGGCAGAAGTTAGAATTCATGGGCCATTGGATCGGGTCCTAGTGGCTCAATGGTCTACGAGCTCGCCATGTAACAAGAAGGTCCTGGGTTCGAACCTCCTGTTATTATTATTATTATTTCCTTTAGTTCCTAGAGGAACATAGGGCTTCCGCCATGCGTCTCCATTGCGTTCGGTTCTCTGCCAACGTTTTCACCTGGCTCCAAGTCTGCCCACACGTTTTCATCTCCTCTTCACATGATCTCCTCCAGGTCACCCTTGGACGACCAACTCGTCGCTTCCCTTTCGGGTTCCACTCGAGCAATGGCTTGTCTAGTGATGTTACTTGATGGTTTCCTGAGAGTGTGGCCAATCCATCTCCATTTCTTCCTGCCTATTTGTTTCACAATCGGTTCCTGCTGAGTTGGTTCGCTCCCAGATATCTTTGTTGCTGATCTTTTCTGGCCATCTGATCTTGAGTATTGAGCGAAGACATCTGTTAATGAAGGTCTGTAGCTTGTTTGAGGTGCTCTTTGTGACACGCCAAGTCTCTGATCCGTATAGTAGCTCTGACTGACTTCACATTGGAGTTGAAAATCCCGATCTTACTTTTGACGCTGAATGTTGTTGACCTCCACACAGACTTGAGAGTAATGAAAGCTTGCCTTGCTTTCCCTATCCTTGCTTTGATATCCTCGTCAGTTCCGCCTGTAGTTGAAACAATGCTTCCTAAGTAGGTAAAAGAGGTTGTTTCTTTCAGGTTCCTTCCATTTATGCTGATTGCTGTCTGTTGTTGTTGCTGTGGCTGTTGGTGTTGGCCAGGAATCTTCATCACATCCGTTTTCTCTATGTTCACCTGGAGTCCTATCTTTGATGCTTCTTCTGCCAACTTGTTACTTTTCGCTTGCATATCTTAGAGTTTGTGGGAAATCAGACATATATCATCGGCGAAGTCTAGATCCTCCAAGTTCTTTGTGTGAGTCCATTTTATGCCTGTTTCCTCATTGCCCACTGTTTGTCGCATTATCCAGTCTACTGCAATCTTCTCTGGCACTCTTCTTTACTCCTTTATTCAGTGTATTGTAGCTTGCATTCAACTCCTGTTTTTGTTGCTCGTCGGTGCACTGGATAATCTTTTGTTTCACCATCCTTCTCTCTTCTATTAGCCTCCAAGTGTCCGTAGTGAGCCATTGTTTGTCCTGTCTCTTCTTTCTGCCCAGAACTTCCATGCAGGTTTCGCTCCATACCGCTTTCAGGTTGTCCCAGTGTTTTTCGACACTGACCTCTTCGCTAATGTTGATTTGTGTCTCAGCTTTGTCTTTTATGCTTGCAGTAAAGATATCCTTTGTATCCTGGTCCTTTAGTTTTTGAGTGTTGAACTTGGCTTGTGGTCTATCTGCAGCTCCTGTTTCTCTGAAAGCTTTTAATTTGAGTTGGATTGTCCCTTGTACGAGATAGTGGTCTGAGCCGACGTCTCCTCCTCTTCTTACTTTGGTGTCCAGTAGGCCGCGCCTCCACTTCCTTGAGATTGAGATGAAGTCGATTTGGTTTTTGGTTCTCTCATCTGGTGACACCCATGTAGCCTTGTGAATATCCTTGTGTTTGTATACGCTGCCACCAATCACTAGTTTATTGAAGGCGCAGAAGTCGGCGAAGAGTTCTACGTTTTCATTCATTTCTCCTAGAGCTTCTCTACCCATGATGAGTTCCCTCCCTGTGTTGTCTGATCCCAGTTTGGCGTTCATGTCTCCCATTAGTATCTTGATGTCACCAGCTGGAGTATTGTCCATTGTTGTCTGCAGTTGTCTGTAGAATTCTTCTTTCTTTTCGAGGTCTGCGTTGTTTGTGGGTGCATAGCACTGTATAATTGACACTTTTCTTCCTTTGGAGTTGAATCTGGCGGTCATTATTCTGGGTGAGATCGCCTCCCATTGTATCAGAGCCTTGGTTGCCGTTGGTGACATCATGATAGCCACGCCCTCGGTGTGTGTGTGGTTGTCTTCTGGGTGACCGGAGTAAATCACTGACTCACCTGTTGACAATTTGGTGAGTCCGTTTCCGTTCCATCTGCTTTCGCAGATCCCCAATTCTTGTATTCCGTATCTGCTCATTTCGCTTGCGATCTGCGCAGCTTTGCTAGTCTCGTACATGGTGCGGACATTCCATGTCCCCACACAGACTTTTTCTTTTGACGCAAGGAGATTGTGCACGCTGAAGTTTCTGTAGCATCTTTGTTTACAGGGTGGGGTTGCTGGCCTCACGCCTGAGTTTAGTCTTCGGGTACCTGAAATAGAAGAAAGGTTAGTGTTGCGTGACCGCAGAGCCCAGGGGACATCTGCTTGAGGCCGGTCACACGCGGCCTGGTGTGTCTCAGTAGTATACTTATCACTTCTGCCCTGTGACACGGCAGCAGAACGTCACGAACCTCCTGTGGTGGGTACGTACTGTAAAGAGTTCCAAACTAGGAAGAAACAGCTGTCCAGTACTCCCAGGTTGTTTTCCAGTGGTAATCTAACTGATGTCAGCTCATGAGGAAATCCTCCATGCAATCAAACGAAATTCCCTACAAAACCAATACTTGAAAATCTGCAGTTAGTTATGTTCTCTGAGCAGGTTGATTTGACTGAGGAGCTTTCAACGTCGTTCTGGACGAAATCTTCAGTGTAAGTTTTGGTATTAAAATGAACTGATTTAAATTCTCCATGAATGATAGAATTGCGTCTCCTGGTAACCATCTTCGTGACTGGTAGTTGATTCACATCCGTATTGATCTTTTTCTATTGACTTGGATTTTGAACTTTCTCGTCACATGATTTACTTTTTATTAGTAGGTAGATGGTTACCAGGAGACGTGATTCTATCATTCATGTAAAATTTAAATCAGTTCAAGTTATGCTAAAACTTGCGCTGAATATTGTGTTCAGAAGGACAACGAAAGCTTCGCAATTAAACTAACCAGCTCAGAGAACACAACTAATTGCAAATCATCCACCTGAACTGCCATTTTTCTGTATTACTTCAAATTAACATTCTCCAAAGGAGGATTGTGAAAGTTCCATTATCAAGCTAGGTAACTCCGTCAACGACCAACTTAATAGGTGGACGGATTATTACTCATATAATGACAATTTAGATGTATTGCGAATTATTACAAGTTAGAACTCATCGACCACTGGATTTCTATCCTAGTTGACAAATGTTTATTGAGCTCACATCATAATCCTAAAGGACCTGGTTTCGATCCCTAATGGTGGGTTTATAGGGGTAAACTGTCGAAAAGTCCCAAACGAGTACGAAGCAGCTGTTCATTACCCCTCTTCCAAGTTTCCAATGATTTTCCACGATCTACATTGAAATATAATAATGATGGCATCACTGAATAAGTAGCTCACTGTCAAAAAAGATGACTATGCGGTTGAGGAGACCTTGGTAACTTGTTAGAATTTCTTAAAACTGATTTAATTTTTACATTTTGGAGAAAAGAGATGATTGTAGTCAACTGAAGAGTAACAAGTATACTTGACTGTTATAAAGTAGGCCATTACTATGCTAGTTATTCATAACTTAAGTTACATAACACTTCTGCGTATTTACTTGGATACACTGTATATTTAACTAAAAGTGAAATTTCCCAAGGATTGGTTTGCGGAGATTTGATTGATTTAAAAAATGATCACGCAATAACTTCAGTTAGAGGACCACTGAAAACAACACAGCACTCGAAAGCTGTTTCAGCCTAGCTTGGAAAACGTCATCAGTACTCATCCACCACCTGAACAAGGATCTTACGTAGGACCTTCAAGTTACTAGTCGATCTTGTTGACCATATAGCTACTGGGACGGAATCCAACGACCCATCAATTCCAACTTCCGCCAATTCGTGAAACGTAGCACAACCGATGGCCAGTATCATCGGTGAGTGTTTATCCTCACACCCAACTTGGTGGAATCCTCTTGTCACAACTTGCCACTGGCAATTCAGGCAACTTCATCCTGTAATAAGTCATAAGTGAGATAATTGGACTAATTTCCAAGTGTTTAGTTTACAAGGGTTTGATTGATTTCAAGACTGATCACGAACCAACTTCAGTTAGAGGACCATTGAAAACCAGGAAGTATTGAGTAGATGTTTCGTCCTTTTTTGGGACCTTTCAGCAATTCGGACCTGTGGCTGCAACAGGGATCGAACCCATGAACTTTAGGTTACAAGACAAGGCGAAATATAGTGAACATTTTTTACCTAAACTACAGTAAAGTTTGTTTTGCTTTATCTCTTTTTCACAATTATATACATCTGTCGTTTACTAGAGGATAAATCAGTCAGCCTAGCAAAAGAGAACAGTTATCTAGGCGGAAGTGATCTTTAGTTTATGATTTCTTCTTTATTCTAATATCAGTACAGTATGCCTAACAAATCAGTTAAAACCAGGCGAGAGAGGGAGATAGATTTGTGTAAACAAATTTCAAATACATAATTTGACATGATATTTACCTCATCATCACTTTCAACTAGATACTGCAATATGATATAATGTAGTAGAGTGATACATTATCTCAACGTATAAACTCCTCTGCTACAGAATTATACTTCAAAACAGTAACCATATTCTTCTCTGATATTCCCAGAGTTACACTTCTCATTTTGATATAACCCAGGGTGATATATAAGTCCACAATCCAGCATA